CCTGTTAAACCTACTTGATTGGCACATAGTTGTGTGTGCAAGAGATTTTGTTTGATTGAATATTTTCTATTAACCATATTTTCAAATGTCATGATCTGCTTATTCCTGAATCTTGATAATTAGTAAAAAAATAAATAGTTACGCTTGTCATGTTAAATCTGATTATTATAAAAATGTAAAGTAACTTACTGCTTGTAATATAATTTGTTATTAATTATGCTATTTATGATATTCAGAGCAAAGGAATTTTCAAAATTACTGTAAATTATGACTTTGAAGTGACTTTTATTATTGGTTACCATTTTTCTGTTAAATATTTGAGGAAAACAGTGATTTTGAAAACTTTAAAATATTTTGTAATAGTCATTGTATTTTCCATTATGGTTTTAAATTGCTTTTTAATTTTTGTATAAGTTGCTAAAAAAACGTGCAATGCTTTTATTTTTGCATACTATTCTTAAGAATTTTTTATCTATTGAGATTGAAATGAAAAATGTCTTTCATTTGATTAGAAACAAATGTCATGGGTAACCTTAAAATTGCAGAATTTTTTCATCAAAAGTTGGTATTCTTGCAGTAAAATTAGAAATTCTTTGAAATTTTTTTAAGAATGGAGAAAGCTGACATAAACTCATTGAATAATGATCATGGTCTCCAGAGAAAAAATTTTTCATAATGATATAAAAGTATTAAGTTTTCCCACTGAATTTTATTCCAATGTTCTTAATTTTGACATTAAAACCATTAGAAACTTTAGACAAACTTGCTTATCGACGAACAAGTTATCAAAAACATTTTCCAAGTGAAGTGGCTAATTAAGTTAATAACTTGACAAATACATAATTAGAATGACATTAAGACCTAAAACAGGTTTCAAGGTATTCAATTATTAATTTGCATGTATTTATTTTTATTTACTGTTCATTGTTTGTTTGCCAAATTTTTATTTTACTTTATATTATACGCACAAATATTTTGTATATTGTGTAATTACTATGCTTAATTAGCTATTATTTTTATTCCAGTAAGGTCTCAAACTATCTGACAGCATTTGTATGTTTTTACTATGGGAATTAATTTTCCCGAGTTTATTTTTTTACTGCTTCTTGACACATTCTGTAATTATACTCATTCTAGTTATGCATGGAAGTTTTATGATGCAGTACTTGAATGTTGTTGAAAAGAAAATTTGTTCAAATGAAGCATAAACATATATTTTACATTATTTCAAAATAAATATTAATCATTTACTATTTTCTGAATAATTATAGATTTATTGTTAACAAAATAACCTTTTTAATATTTCATCATAGATATTTGCGTATTGTTAATAAGAAATATTTGAAATATCATTTTTTTCACCTTCAAATTTTGCACAACATTGTTTTTTATTTTAGTCTATATTTTTATTTTTCAATATATTTGCATCTCATTGAAAAACATTCATCTTCCACATATGTAAACCTCTAATATTCTCTAAATAAGTTATTTTCTTCATTCTTAATTTTTTACATTTATTCAAAGTATGCTTTCTTATTATTTTTACTTTAATTAAATTTCAGATAAGATTTTTGTATGTATATTTATTTGAAAGACACAGAGAGAGAATTTTTATTAACTTTAATTAGGAGTAAATAAAATTTTTAATAATGCCCCAGTATCAACTAGTTTTTTTTTTTTTTTTTTTTGCAAAAAATCAATTCAAGTGCAAAAATGAATACTAATGGTGTGGAAAATGTTAAGAGGGATATTTACAATATCTTCTTAATTTACCTTCCTTAAAAATTACTATTCGGTTTTATTATGAAGCATTTATTAAATTAGTTAAAGGCTTAGTTGTATTCAATTTGAAAAAAGAGATGTTTCATGTGATATTCTATGGTGATGGCTTGAGACGTAGAGAGTTCAACTTATCCTTGGAAATTAACAAAGTCACTAAAATTGTACCTCGTAATTTTTTTTTTTTTTAAATTGAGTTTGTTTTGCATTTATATTTATTTATTTCTAACAAATTCAAAGTATATTTCTTTACAATATTGAAAGTGTAAGGAAATTATCTCCACAAATAAAGGTGATTATCTGCAGCCCGCTAGCTGTGCGGCTCACGAAAGCATGCTGAACATAATAAAAAAAAAATATTACAATATTTTTAAAAAATTAAAACTAATTGAAAATTTTGATTTTTCGCATTTAAATTCCATCCTCCCACTGAAGTGACCTGGGTTCAAATCCCAGCAATGGCTGGTCGTTATGAATTCCGCACCCAAGTCGCTCTGACCACATTCCCATCGTAAAATATCCTCAGTGGTGGACGGATTATGGGTTCAGAGTCTCCTTGCTGTCAGACTAACAGTGGGAAGCTTTCGATGTTTTTCTCTCCTTGTAACGCAAATGCAGATTAATTTCATCAAAAAGACCTTCACGAGGGCAAATTTCCCTCAATATTTGATCCAGAGGTTCCTTAGTCTTCTAAATTGTATTCAAATTTATAAGGCTACGGGATTGAAGATTGGTCAACGACGGTTGTAAAATAAAATATTTATTATGCAACGTTGTTACGAGTAACGAATTTTGAATTTAATTATTGCTTTTAAGTCTCTTCATTTGTGCTAATTTCATCGTAAATTCAAGTGACTTTTCAGTCACTAATTTTTTCGGTAATTGTTTCAATAGATATCCACGTAGTTTTTAAAATCGCGATATTTTTTTAACATTTTTAAAATTTGGAATCCTTTATTAAAATTAACACTTTTTGACTCGCTTTTTTTATGCAAACTTCATCTCAAATCCAAATGATTTTTAATCGTTTTGGCAGTTATTGATGCCAATTTCCTCGTGGTTTTTAAAATGTCGATATTTTCGGAACAATATTACGAATCGTTGGCGTCTTTAGACTAAATTTATTGAGGGGGGACCACCTCCAAGTCAAGATTTTTTATGGTTTTCCATTGATGGACCAACATATTCTTGATGGTAACCATTAATTCCATCATGAAGCATTATATTTTTTGATGGTAACCAAAAACATTTGATTTTTTTTAGAAATCAAATGTTAAAACGATCATGAACAACCATCACCCCCCGATGTAGGAATTCGGACTGGTCCAACATAAGAACTGTAACTTGTTTTGATGAACGTTATGTTGGTCTTAGTTATGTTGAACGATCAGAAATTTCAATCATAGTTTCTTAGAAATCAAATGTTGGAACGAGCATTAACCACCTATGTAGGAATTCGGTCTGATTTATGATGGGCCAACATAAAAAAATCTAAATGGTTTTGATGGTACATTCCTGCTGAACCAACTAGAATTTCAATTAAACCGTCATGGAAATGTATTGTTGAACCATTAAGGACCATCACGAATTTCCATAGTATACTAATCATAAAATGTTGGAACGATCATGAACAACCATCATCCCAATGTAGGAATTCGGACTGATTTATGATGGTCCAAAAAAAAAAAATTGTTTTGATAGTATATTCCTGAGAACCAACAAGAATCATCATGGATTGTTGGTTCTTGAGAATCGAACTTCTATTGATGGTTAGCCATCATAGCAGTAAAGTAGCATTTTCCATCATGAATGATGGACGTTTGTTGGCATATCAAACACCATGAAAGCTAAATGGAAAATATTAGATGATGGTGACCATCAAATGATGTTGGACCACAATGAATCGCACTGAAACCAACATAAACTATCAAGAATTTTGACTTGGGATACCTTTGAAATAAATTCTTAGTTAAAATTTTCCTTTATTTAAGATAATCTTCAGAATAAGCTGAAATAAATTCTTCCATTTTTATCCGTTTTATTTATTTTTTGCTCATTTCATATATTGAAACCCAAATTAATAGTCCTTTGTATGATATATTATACAAGTGGTTAAAATTCAAACTACGTTACCTAATATTAACAGCTAATTTTTTAAAGATTTCCAATTTAAATCCGTACACCATTGACATTTGCAAAATGATCTAAGAACTGCAGCTGAGTTGGAGAGTATGATGCAAAATTATTTAAATGCACAAATGTCGAAAGACGCATATGTTGATAAGAATATCTTTATAAAAGTGAAAAATATGACAATTACATCAAAATCCTTTCCTAGCACTTAAGAGTCAATAAATACGAGTACAGTAAGACCCCGCTTGGCGCTGTTTCTGTTTAGCGCTCTTTTATTTCAACCCGGGGATTCCCGAAGTTATGCTCGGGGACTCCCCCAAATATGTACATAACATATTCGAAACAGTGTAGTTGTGTTTCTTGTTTGGTGCGGTGCTGTACGGACGCATTTTTATCATTTGAAACATTTGTTGACATTATTGTAAGTACATATAAATTTATATAATACTATATCGATTAATTCAGTGACAAATATTATGATCTTTAGTTTTTATCATGGGTGATAATGAAAAACAAGAAAAGAAAGCAACCGGAAAAGGCATTTCGCTGGAAACTAAAATGCAAATGATTACAGGATTAGATTCTGGTGAACGTCAATCTCAAATTAGTGCTGCATTGAATTTGGCAACTTCAACAATAAGGACAATTCTTAAGAATAAAGAAAAAAAATATTGTCATCGGCAACTGCAACTACGTCAAGCTCTGCAACTAGAAGTACCCGTTCTAGAAATAACATTATAGGGGAAATGGAAAAACGACTGTCTATATGGATTGACCACGAAACTGAACGCAATATGCCATTAAGCCAATCTATCATAATGGAAAAAACTAGAAGAATTTTTAATTAAATACATTCAGGTTGAGGCGAGTGACATAAGTGAAACTTTCGTTGCTAGTCGAGGAAAGTTTAATAGATTTAAACATCGAAATAATCTTCACAACATAAAGATTACAGGAGAAGCAGCAAGTGGTGATACGAAAGCGGCGGCTGAATTCCCAGCGACATTATCCAAACAATAATTGAACAAGGAAACTATCCTCCAGAATTGGTTTTTAATGTTGATGAAACAGGCCTGTTTTGGAAAAGAATGCCAAAACGAACATTTCTATCCCGTGAAGAGAAACGAGCACCAGGATTTAAAGCCGCAAAATATCGCTTAACACTTCTACTGGGTGGTAACGCAAGCGGGGATTTCAAATTAAAACCACTACTAGTTTACCACTCCAATAACCCAAGAGCGATGAAAGGCATATCTAAATCAACTTTACCTGCAATTTGGGAGTCTAATAAAAAATCATGGATAGCTATGAAAATTTTCCAGGATTGGTGCACTGAACATTTCTGCCTGTCTGTTAAACGTTATTGCGAAATTAAGAAACTTGAACAAAGAGCACTACTATTAATTGATAATGCTCCAAGCCACCCAACAAATTTATCAGACTTAATAACATGCATTCCAGTCGAAGTGGTTTTTTTGCCGCCTAACACAACTGCCTCAATCCAACCAATGGACCAAGGCGTTATATCCAATTTTAAGGCTTATTACTTGCGGCAAACATTAAAGCAGATGTTTGACAAAATAGACGGAGAAGAGAAGCAATCAATAAGAGAATTTTGGAAAAACTACAATATCATGAACGCTGTAGAAAACATAAACCTTTCTTGGAATGAGATAACTGAAAGAACTTTGAAAGGAGTATGGAAGAACATTTGGCCAGATTTAAGACAGCAGCTAGTCTTTCTAATGATGAGCTCAAGGAATTAACTGAGCAAGAAGAAAACAAGAATATTTGATTTGATTTATTGAAATTACATACATTTGCTGACTTGTGTGCTCAATATATAGGCTTATAAGTCATTGTCAAATAGAAAATACAGATAGAACAATTCAGAGAAAGACATCACAAAGAATACATCCAGGGTTACGGCGGGATTCGAACCCGCTACCTCCACGCTTAACAGAGCGTTTGGACCGGCGATACCGCTCGGCCAGGGAGGCCCCATAAAATATTATATCAACTCAATCAAGCCAAAATTTAAAATCGATATTTGAGTTTAAATTTGAATCACGCATTATTTCGTTAAGAAACATAAGAGGAGTAAAAGAAATAAATATTTATCGGAAAAAAATTATTCAACAATCACAAGAACCATTCTCTTCCCATTAAAGATTTATATTCTGCTAAAAAGTAAATTTAAACCTTTTAAAGCATTTTTTTTCTAAATATTTTTAAATATTGAGGCTTTTGTAATTTTCGATCTGAAACAACTTTTCAAGAGAGTTCTGTTCTTTCATTACTTCTTGTAAAGCCCCGTACATTTAAAAAATACGTAATAATGCAATAACGCGGAAATGAATAAAAAGAGTCTATTGCAGAACAATTTTTTTTTAAATAATCAGAAATAATGCTTGTAAGTCAAGAAAATATTTAGTAGCACAACATTTCTTAATTGATGCAATTGAAATATTTTTCTTTTAAATGTTAAAGCTGAATCAAAATAATTTTAACTTACGAGAGTATTAGATTTTATGACATCATTGTAAAAAAGTTAAAATAAAAAAATAATAATACAAGTAATAAACAGTAATGTTGATGTATTACAAGTGCTTAGCTTCTGTTCATCGTAAACATGCAGTTTTGAGGTAATCAGCAGTTTGTTAACACCTGTTGTTCTTTTTCCCCATGCTAATGATTTTGAATACAGTAAGGGACCTCCCCCCCTTTAACTATGGGCAAGTTAAGAAACGCCACAAATTCTGTCGGAAAGATAGGGTTAAAGGGAAAGCTTTTTAATTATTGAGCGCTGCCCTACTGTTTATATTAGTGTAATGTTTATAATTAAGAATACAATGTGTGATATGTGGTAAAATACTCTCTAACCCCGTTATAATGAACTCGGAATATAATAAACACTCGGTTGTTGCGTCAACTTCTTTAGTGAACCGCTATTTAACAAATATTACACTTATAGTGAATAGCTGAGGAATGGGTTGTTTGTTTATAGATTAAAATTTACTTTTAAAAGTTACTTAAATAAATGTTGCATAATTTTTAGTCGATGTGATAAGTTCAAAAGTATATAATTATGAATTTATTCGAAAGTTAATAACAAACAACATCAAAAATTAATAATAAAATTAAATTATAAAGGCGTAGTTGAAATAACTTATTTCGTTTCACATGTAGCTATGCGTTATCGCTGAATTTAAAATCCAATCTCTAAATTAAAATTCCAATTGTAACGTTTTTCAAAAATAAAGTAAATCAAAAAGATAAACATCTAAAAACTTGGTTATGTGGTGAATATTTTGAATGTTATTTAACATTTCAGTGAAAATTTCGTTATTGGAAAAAATTCTCTGTAGAGAAATTTCGTTATAGAGAGACTTTACTATGTTTAGTAAGTTTTTAATTTATAAGAAAATTATGCACTAACGCAATCATTACTTCTAACAATATGCTAAAAATAATTTTACAAAGAAATTGGATATAGGAACCATTGTTTATAGCGAACTAATTACTGTCACCGCAGACATTCACTATAACGGGGTTTTACTGCATATAATTTAATAATGATATTTGAAAAGTCTTTTATAATTAAAAAATAGAGTTCTATTATATTCCTTATGAATCTATTTATATAAACTATTGTTATTCAATTTCTTCAGGATTTTATTTTTCTGACCAATTCAAAAATTGCTTTTTTACTTTCACTTATTTAAAAGTGATTTATTAAATGACTTGGAAATAATACTATTATTTGAACTAGATTTTAATTATAAGCTGTTTAACATTCTAATTTAATACTTTGATATTTCCTTTTTAAAAAGAGTTTCTTCCATTTAGGTAGGACTGTCTCGGTAGAAATAATTTCCTCCTGGGCAGTTTTTTTCCACTGTGGAAGAAACTTGCTATCCCTGATTTAGAATAGAACGAAAAATAATTAACGAGTTTTTATAGTGATTTACAATTAAGTAAGATTTTGAAAAACAAGTTTGCAGCTGAAGTTGTTATGGCAACCGAACGAAATTGACTTAAGTCTAAATTTTATCCCAAAACAAAGGAAAGTAGATCCGTGGGACAAAAATTCTGCATTTTACAGTAAAATTTTTCAGCACCTTTCAATTGAATTTTTTTAATTTTGATGAAACAATCTGTAAAAAAATTAAATAAAGAAGTGATTGTATGGCGAGTTAAGCGCCGTCTAGCAAAACTTAATTCCCCCCCCCCGCCCCAATAGAAATAAGTTAAAAATAGGTATTTAGTAGTAGTAATTCTCACCAAGACGAGGATTATTGATTTTTTTAGCTCGTTGTTGTCTTTTTGACATACTAAAAGTTTAGGAAAATGCGAGTGAAATACATGTTTTTTGACCGCTATCTTGGAAAATCGTTCAAGTTTAAAAAAAGTCGAGTCAAAAACAAAAAAATAAAATGGTATTTTAGGCTGGAAAATTAAATTCTAATTGATTTTTTGAAGCAAAATATTTAATATGACGAATAGGTGGTAATTTTTTAACTCACTAAAAAAGCATTAATATGAAGAAAAAAAAACATGTTTATTTAAACTCTATTTTAATACTTTCTTTTTTTAAAAATAATCGTATTTGATATATAAATTTTATAGTATTTTAAGCTGGAGAACAAAATTATAATGATACTTCAAGGGAAAATGTTTAATAAGGTGAATAAATGGTAATTTTTTAACACATTAAAAATGTGAGTATGAAAAAACGCTTTAATTTGGTTACAATTTTGAAACTTTTTTAAAAAATCGTGTGTGGTATCAACATTTATGGTATTTTAATCTAGAAATATAACTTTAAGTTTAATGGTGACAAGGATAAAATGGATGATAATTGAGTAGATATACTAATAAAATGTGATTTTGATAAAAACAATTTTGTCCTCGATTATTTAAAAAAAATCTCATTTGTATGCAAATTGTTTGATATTTTAGGCTGGAAAATAATATAATATAGGTTTTTAGAAGTAAAATGTTAGCAAAAATAAAGTAAGTGCAGGGCCGGATTAAGTGTACACGGGGCCCTAGGCCATTAAAATTTTTATGGCCTTAGATTAAATTTTTTTCTCGTATGTTTTTTATTTATACATATATTAAAGTATTTATGTATCTTTTCATTTAAGAAAGCATATTTAAAATTAAAATAAATAATAATAAATGAAATTTTACTTCCTTTTATTAAATTAGAACTAAAAAATAATCATAACATTTTGAAAATTTTTTTAAAAATCATTGTTTTTTCTAATTTTTTAAAATTTATTTTCAAAAACTTCATTTTAAGGGGGCCCCTAATCATTGGGGGTCCCAGGCCATGGCCTAATGGGTAATCCAGCCCTGAGTAAGTGGTAACTTTTTGACATACTAAAATATGTGAGTGTGCAAAAAGCATTTTTAGCAGCCATCTTGAAATCATTTTCATTACGCACCAGAGTGTATCTACCACAAATGAGAGAATAGTGACGTTGTAATTATGTCGGCATTATGGTAGCGAGCGAACCTCGTTCGAGCCTACATCACCTCGTTGTGAAGCAAGTACTCCATCCTCCGAGCCTCAATATTTTTTTTTTTTTTAAAGTAGGAAATGAATAAATTAGAGAACATACAATTTAGGTCTCGTTCGGCGTCCTGGGCTATACAGGTCCGCCCTGTATGCAATAACCTGAGGCGTTCCATCTGTGGACAGGTAGATATTTATTATTTTAAGGTGTTTTGTTTTCAACCTTAGATTATTACAAATCAACCTGAAATATATTTTTTACATCCGTGGAAGTATTTATTCCACAACCTAAGGTATTTCATTCAACATTTCAGGTTATTGAAAAATCAACCTCAATTTTTTCTTAACAGTTGGCGTGGTTTTACATTTTAGTTTATTATAAATCTACCTCAAGTGTATTTTTTGACAGTTTAAAAGATAACTCTTTACCAACCTTAGGTGTTCTATGATCTACTTAATGGTTATTTCTTATAAAACTACAAGTATATATTTATATTGCAGTAGATGTACTTATCAACCTAAGGTACGTGATTTGATACTTCAAGTTATTATAGATCAAACTCTAAAGCTTCTTAAAACTTATGGAGGTAAATATTCACGAACGAGAGGTGTTACATGTTCCATCTTAGGTTAGTAATTTTTAACGCAAAATATATATACATATATTTTCACTAAGTAGAGGTTTTTTTATTTATGAATTTGAAGTCTCTTATGTTACATCTTCGTCAGTATTTTGTAGCTTTCTACGGTCCATCCTAATTTTCGTGACTGATACCACGCGCATGGATCAAATGTGGCATCCATATCTCAAAATAAATATTAACTGAGTTAGAAGAATTGTGTAAAAAATAAAATCTAATGCAAATAATCTATTTTTGTTCAACTTTTTTAAATGCCAATTATTAATTTTACTTATTTTCAGACAATACAGGAAATGACATAAAACCAGCAGACTTAAAGGGATTGGTTTAACGTCTTTTTTTTTCCAGACTTAGTATTGGCGGCGAAAATCGAGGTCGGCAGAAAATCCTTTAAGTCGTATTAAATATTGTACGTCAGTATTCACTCTCAACGTTTTTCTAGAATTGTCAAAAAATTTTTATAAATGCTTTATTTACTTAAATTTTAATTTTCTTTATTTAGTTGATAAATATAATCTATCTGTGCTTTACTTACACAAATTATTATTCAGAATAATTCCTGTAACAGATAATTTTGTATTACGCCTTTAAGCTTTAATTTGCTCATCTTGCGCTAATTTGCAATTGCAAATTATTTATTGTCCCCAAACTTATTAACCGTTTGTTAAAATGTAGAATTATAAAACATAAATTTTCTTTTATGTTTTGCTAATTTTATAATTATAATTTACTAATTTTGTGCTAATTTGCAATTTAAAATTAATGTAATATATAAAAATTATCAACCTTGTGTTAATCTGTCGAGTTGTTTAATATTTATCTTTAAATACATTAACTATGTTGCTACGTAAACTATAGAAGAAAGTCTTAATTTATAACTACTCTTATTTTAATAGGCTCAATTAAATTATTTTGAAATATCATTTCCGCAGTTGAAGAATAATTGTAGGAACTTCCATTTTTATTAAGTAGATACTGAAGGTGCTCGATTTTAAAGTCAAAGCACAGCAAATTTAAATAATTTAACTCTCTGATATACAAAATATTTTTATTTAAAAATAAAACTCAATTTTTTTTTACCTACCAACAAAATTATTTTAAATATTTATTCAGTCTATCTCTTGCAATTTGAAGCTTTGGAACCTGTAAAAAAATATGAATTTGTGAGAAAGTCATATTTACATTAATCATGAAAAATTTTAAAATATTAGAATCATATCATTTGGAGTTAAATTGGATAAAAATTAAATTTCTTTTTCTCATAAAGTACATTCCACTCCAGAGGCGCACCCAGAAAACCCTTCTTGGGGGTGAGGTAAAAATTGATAATATTAGTTTTATTTTTCAGGAATGATGAACACAGAATTATTTTAAATAATATTGTAATAAATAAAAAAATATGTCTTTAAAATAATAGTTAGCTTTTTTTTGCCATTATCCGGATCGATCCGGATAATTGAACAGGGTTGTGCTTGTTCAGTTACACCAAAGAAGTGCAAAGAAAAAGTTTGTCGAACTGTTTTGATAATATGTTCTGTTGGAAGATCATTTACTCAATAAGAAAGAATACTTTTCTTTCGTTTAAAGTTAGTTTTGAGGTCAAAAAATTTTTTGTATAGATGAATTTCAGAAATTCTAAATAATAAAGAAAAACACCTCGCTTGCGGTTTCCAGTGGCGTTGTAACCCTATCCTGGGCGAACCACTGTTTCCCTCTTATGATTTATATAAAATCTTTAAAGCTATGTGTTTAAAACTGTTACAAGTGTCACAACCTCAAAATGATTTAATTGCTATAAAATTGTAAACATTTAACAATTTCATAGCAATTTAAATATCTAATTTCACTCCGGAGAAATCTTAGAACTTTATTTCTCCATAACTCAACCTACTATCCTTTATTTTGGAACAAATACTTTGATAATTAGGTTTTTTTTCTTATTTTTTAAACAAATATTTACATGAATTCAATCATCCTAATCTGCATTTTTAAGTTAACTTTTTCAGATTTCATAAAAGTAATTATTCTTAGATCAATTTTTGATGCTGATTCTGAAAATGACTTTTGACGAAAATGACGTCCATCACGTCAGGTGTTTGAAGAAAAAAAATAAAAAGTCATCTTCAATATTTAAATTAGTGTAATCGAGAACCAACCATTATTTAATGAAATGATACTGGAGTCAACTTTTATGCCCAATCTATTAAAATTAACCACGGTCTCGAAATTATGAGCAATTGCATAGGGAAAAATGTTTAAGGGAGAACGATTGCTTTTAAAAGAGGTAGTGTTGCATATCATCTCTTATGTAATTTTTAATGCAGAGAATAAAACTAATTTCAAGTTCATACTATCATCTGTTTCAAGGTTATCAGCAATTTTATAAAAAGTCTTATGAGGTGAAATTCAACCTCGTATCCATAAAAATGCTTATAACTTACGCATCAAATTGCAATTAATTTTATTCGATTCAGCTTTCAAATTACATAAAAAACTACCTCGATTTATTTTTTAAAAACTGAGGATTCCCACTAATGAAGTAAGTGAAATATGAGTATTAGCTGCATAAAAACGTTCATAACCGTAAAATAAGTGACTGTATTAACTTTCAATCGCTTTATTCGACTCATCTTAATACTCTAATAAGTAATAATACTCTGCTTTATAAGTAATTAACAAGGGTTAATAGCGAAAACACTATGTGTTAGAAGAAAACTAATAATAGGAAAAAGTGAGCAAAAAGCATTTTTAATTTTCAATTATCAAATATGCAAACTCATATTATCAGCAATTACAAAAATTCATTAATTTATTAAGTAAAATAATTTTTTTCGTTGAAATAAAAGAGGATTATATACATACTTATTAACTATGAGTAACTAACTTCATTTGGGTATTTTCAAAAGTGATTTTTTTTCTTCTTATAAAAAAGTAAACTAAAATATATATTTAAATAACTTTTACGTAAGAATATGATTCCAATTGTTAAGGGTTAATAATTTTTAAACTTTTTTTACTGTCTAATTTCCTGCGGTGCACAATCAACTAACCAGCCAACTAACGATGTGATGTAAACGACAGCATCTAAACAAAATAAAATTATTTCATATAAAAAAAAATCAGAAATTTGAAATAGCGCCAAGTTTTTGACGCGCTTAATCTTAATATAATTATTCGATGGTTAATGCTACAGATTTCCACTTTGTTTTAAAAATCCCAATATTTTTCAAATACCATTAAGAAACGCGAATTTTCCCTTTTGACGCTCTGCTAATGACTTTTCGGTCGTTTTTTTGATGGTTATTGGTGCGGATTTCTACGTAGTTTTTAAAATCGTGATTTTTTTAAAAATACGTTTTAACGTCTTTTAAGTTTTGAATGGTGCATTCAAATAAACACATTTAGACGTACTTTAGTTGCGCAAACCGAAATGACATTTGATCCTTTTTTCGGCAGTTACTGCTACACATTTCTACGTGGTTCTTAAAATTGCGATATTTTTAGCCAGATATTATTACGAATCGCGAGTATCGAATCTCTCATTTAGCTAACCACTTTTGACGTAGTCTATTTGTGCCAATTTTATCGCGAATTCAAAATATTTTTCAATCGTTATTTTGACAATTATTGCTACGCATTTCTACATGGTTTTGAAATTTCGGATATTTTTAATACGTTATTTTTACTACACTTTAATTTCGTATCCTCCATTTAAATACACCATTTTTTGATGCGATTTATTCGTGCCAATTTCAACGTAAATACAAAGTGATTTTTAATGTTTTTTTCGGTAGTTACTACTACCCCTTATGAAAAAATCGAGGTATAAATGAGGTATAAACGAGGTATATTTTAAAGGTAGAAAGGAGGTTGTTATTTAAATACGTCGTTTCAAATGCATAATTCTTCTATAATTTCTATAATTTTAATAGATTGATTTAAATCATCTTAAAATAGCACTTATCCAAATTCTACAGTCAGTAAAAATTATTTATGGGAACTCATACTCATATTTTTAGAAGATAGTTGTCTAAGGTGCTTGAATTTTTAAAGCTATAAAACTACAAATTTAAATAATTAGTCAGCTGAAATTCAAAGTACTTTTATTTAAAACTAAAATTTCACTTTTTTTACAAACCAACAAAATTATTTTAAATACTGTTTCCGTCTACATGTTGAAACTTGTAATTATTGGAACCTAAAAGGAAAAAAAATATAAATTAGTAAGAAAGTCATATTTACAATAATAGTGGCAGGTCTTAAAATATTAGAAAGTATTTTTTTTATCATTTAAATTAACTGGATGAAATTAATTTTCCTTTTCAGATAAATATCTTCTGCCATTTCTATTCAATCCTCGTAGCTAAAAAGCATGACATGTATCACAGCCACAAAATAAAATACACTGAAGACAGTATTACCATTAACAACATTTACAGAAATTCAAATATACAGGGTGTTTATAAAGTCCCGGACCCATTTTGATGTTTAATAACTCATAAAATAATAAAGATAGATTAAAATTAATAACATAAATGGTTAGATAGACTCAAAAACTTTCATGAACCTTGTCAATGAACTTCCACGTGTGCCCCCTTCGTCGCACGGAGAATATCAAGTCGATAGTCAATTTCACGCCAGGTAGCGGCAAGCATGTCGGCATCCACAGAGGCTATTGCGGTTGTAATTCTGGCTTTTAGGCCATCAATGTTCGACACGATCCTCCTGTAAACATTGTCCTTTATAAATCCCCAAAGAAAAAAGTCCAGCGGCGTTATATCAGGTGATCTGGGTGGCCAAGGAATTGGACCTCCTCGCCCAATCCATCTTCCTGTAAAATGGTCATTCAAAGAACTACGAACGATGATACCCCAATGAGGTGGTGCACCATCTTGTTGCAAAAAGACATGTGGCTGAAGCTCTTCTAGTTGTGGAAATACGAAGTTTTCCAACATGTCTAAGTATACGACTGATGAGATTGTCTTTTCTGTAAAAAAGAAAGCTACCTCTCGTGAAATTGACTATCGACTTGATATTCTCCGTGCGACGAAGGGGGCACACGTGGAAGTTCATTGACAAGGGTCATGAAACTTTTTGAGTCTATCTAACCATTAATGTTATTAATTTTAATCTATCTTTATTATTTTATGAGTTATTAAACATCAAAATGGGTCCGGGACTTTATAAACACCCTGTATAATTCCAATCTTATTATGCAATTTTAACACTTTTTATTTTTCTATACATCTGTAACATTATGGTACTTGTAAGTTTAATAATTAGATTTCCTTCCCTTTCTTTTTTAAAAATCTTTAAACTCAATAAACCTAGTCTATATTTTTCAACTTTTTGTCAGACTTCATGAAACTAGCAGCTTTTTTTTAAATTTTTGACGCTGATTCTGAAAAGGACTTATGTTATTGTCAATCACATCAGAGTTTCTTAAAAAATAGTTATTTTAATAATTTTTAATCAATGTAATCAAGAATCTACAATCGTTTAATAAATTAAAATTTTAAAGTTATGTACCAATTTTTATTCTTTTTTTACACTCAATCGAATAGAACAAATTACAAGCTGATAAGGAGCATTTATTTTAAAGTTGTGAGTAATTTTATGTGAGGAAAATGTCTAAGAGAGAATGATTTGAAATAATACTTTTAAAATAAGTTGAGTATAATATCTCCTATATAACTTATAATACCGAGCAGAATAAAACTAATAGTTAGTTGTTACAAACACTTGTTTAAATATAAATACACATCCCATAGGATGAAACTCAAAATAATGCATATTACTTTCAACAATAAATGTTTTTATTTGCAATTGATTTTATTCAATTCAGGATTAAAATTGCATACTATACTGACTTATTTCTAAAATATTTAAGATTTCCGAAATTCGCACATTTTTGAAGTAGTGAACCATAAACAGCTGCATGAAAAAGCTCATAACCTTGAAACAAATTGTCATATAAACTTGAAATCGGATTTAATTTCATTCTGCCCAATATTCTAATAAGTAATAACAATCTGCTTAGTAAATAATTAACGTGGGTAAAATGCGAGAAAATAACATGTAGTGAAAATAGCAGTTTTGTGATCAAACATGAAGAAGTGAGCTAGTACAGTTACTAGTTTTCAATTATCAAATATCTAGCAAACTATTGTTATCAACAATTACATAAATTCTGTAGTTTATTAGGAGAGATTACTTTTTCTTTTAGGTATAAATTCAGAACTATATCCTAGGGGAAGGCTGAGCAGTAGCTTGCTTGTCTCTTCTTCTGCGCCGCCGCGCATGTGCTATTTACAGCCTAGGCCATCTCAGTAATATCAGAGAACTGTGGATAAGCTCTGAAAATATATATATATATATATATATATATAAACAATAATATAAACTTTGCAACAAATATCCAAACGATAAGCATACAGCTATAGTAGAATTTCAAAGCAAAATTGCTATTTTAAAAATCTTTCAATTTTCAATGATTTATTTATAAGAGAAATTGTGAACATTTTTCTCAATTAATCAGCGTGCATACTGCTACGTTAAAACATATACATTTAAGCAAAATAAAAAGAATAGTTCTATTTGACTGAACTACAAACAATAAAATATACTGTGCATAACCTGCTGTAACGATTCACCAGTAATGTTACCCAAAACAGTGACGAGAAATATTTCGGTTATTCTCTCTTATTGCTAAGCCTACAACGATAGCCTCTAAGAATATCCTCCAACTTAAATTATTTAAGATCAGGACGCGTCGTTAAAACAAAAATAATAAAATTTAAGTTTCAAAATTGAAGCATATTTGATTAAAAGTGATAAAACTAAATTAATAAATGTCAAGCACACTTACCGAATTTCGAATAGACTTTCGATTGTCAACACACACGCCATTTGCCGGCTCGCATGGAACTCTGGGAAGTGAGTTAGTTAATATGAAGTGTACTTTAAGCAACCTTAAAACAAGCTTAGGTATAAATAAAATGACTTCAACACCTCAATAAATACCTCACTCTCTTTAGTTGAAATAAGGTATATTTTTTTATACCTCATAAATACCTCAATATCGTTAGTAGAAAAAAGGTATATTTTTTATACCTCGTAATTACCTCACTCTCGTTAGTTGAAATAAGGTTGATTTTTTTATACCTCATAAATACCTCTTTTGTTACAAGTGTAAGAGAAACAACCTCGTATACCTTAAAAATCATCTTATCAGTCTGGATGATTTGAAGTGAATTTAAAACAACCTCAAAATAAGCTTAGGTATAAATAAAATGACTTCATATACCTCAATAAATACCTTTTTATCGTTAGTTGAAATAAGGTAAAAATTTTTATACCTCAAAAATACCTCTTTTGTTACAAGTGTAAGAAAATAAACCTGGTATACCTTAAAAATCACCTTATCAGTCTGGATGATTTGAAGTGAGTTTTAAACAACCTCAAAACAAGCTGAAGTATATATAAATCAACCTCGTACACCTTAATTACAACCTTTACAAGGTATAATTTTTATTGCTGTTTTCTCTGCAACCTTAAATATACCTCAAATATACCTCAAAACAACCTTAATACCTCAAAAATACCTCAAATCATCCTTAAATATACCTTAAATTTTCGTAAGGGACGCTTCTCCGCCCGATTTAAATAATTCTGATATTCTAATACTATATTACACGCTAGTTTTGAATCGCGCATTAAAAAATACTTTTTGACATTCTTCATTTGTCTTGTGCCGTTTTAACATAAATATAAGTGGATTTTCGAAAGCTTTTTGTCATTACTCCTTATGATTTTGAAAATCCTGATCTTATAACAAAATATTACAATTCTAGAATCTCCAATCTGTTTAAATTTTTTTGTACACTAAAAAGCATTCTTTTTAATACATAAAATTTGCAAAACCTTTTATAATTTATTTAAAATAAATTTTTTAAAGTTGAAGTATATTTCCCACTAAATGTGGAATCCAATTTTGCATTGCAAGGTTTTTTTTTTATTTTTAATTTAAATAATTTTAAATTTTCTTCAAAGTATTTAACTTGCGTATATTTTAATCACTGGAATATTTTAAAAAAAATTTAAATCTATGAACATTAAAGCTTTTGACTGTTAGAATTTATGTTGAAATGAACTTATGTATTATATAACTTAACAAATGGTCACCTTGGGACATTTTTACTTTTGGTCTTAAATTTTAAATTATCTTTTAGTTCTCTTAGATTCAGATAAATGTCAGCATCACCTAACCTTGGCATCACCTATTTTGATTCCTATTCAGCATCACCTATTTTGATTCCATTGATTAAGCAGGTAAGAATTTATTAAGATTTTTATTTTTGAAGCATGTTTATTTACTTTCATATATAAGTTTAATTAGTTGTAGAAATAAATTTTAATGAAATTATTTTTAATAAAAGGTAGTATAATGAAGTATAAAGCTTTCCGTTCAGAAGTTATTAAATTTAATTGTTCTAATGCTAAGCCTAAAAGTATGATATTTTAAAATATCCCATTGAGCACCTTGAGACAGATGGAGGTGGCCCACCTTGGGACACTAGATATGCATAATTAATCCTTATTAAAAATAGATTTTTAGCAAAAAGATATTGTGCATGCAAATTATTTGTTAATTTATATAATCTGTGTTTATTAATAGTTATTATTTCTTATTTTANATGAAATTATTTTTAATAAAAGGTAGTATAATGAAGTATAAAGCTTTCCGTTCAGAAGTTATTAAATTTAATTGTTCTTCAAAAAGTATAAAAATAATGCAGCAGTTTGGGCAAAAATGTTGAAAAAGCTGCTGCAAATTTTATCAGGGGAAATGACTTGTAAGACAGCTGTTGAATTCTACAGGAATTGGTAAGACCACTCTGAACCGCCATTTTATTTCCTTTTAAAAAAGAGAGCAGCCAAATTCTAACTTTAAATATATTTTAAATATACAGAGTCGCAAAATATACACAGATGAGGAAGAAACAAATTTGGTACAGTATATGTTACAAGCCTCCAAGTACCATTAAGGATTAACAATATGTGATGCACATGCACTTACATATGAGTGTGCTTCACCAAACCAAATGAACATTCCTCCAAACTGTGAGAATCAAAAAAAAATCTGGGAAGATGAGTATTTAATACTCTCAGAATTAGTTAGATATACATCCAGAAGAAAACCAGCAATTAGTGATTTATGCAATGATAACAGTGATGACGATGCTTGCAGCTTAGATTAAATGAACAGTGAAAGTGACAACAAAATATTTAACGATAAGAAAAAAGTTCATCTACAAAAAAGTAGTGAAATAAATTACATATTGGAGATTTTGCTCATATCAAATTTGCTGGAAAAAGATCTGTTGTTGCCTTTGTAGGTTGCGTTGAAAGAGTTGATGAAGATGAGTAAGAGTTATCAGTTTAGAGAAGAGTGAATCAATTTGCAACATTTATTTATTCCGAAAAAAGAAGGCAAATCATACATAGATTCAAATGACATTTTGTTAAAAAAGCAGAGCAAAGCTTTGAACGTTCTTTAGGTTTTGTATTTGATTCTGAACAATTGGATTTGCATACAAGAAGATGAAACTAACAAAATAAAACTTTATTAACAACACTAAAAAATGTAAATTTATTTAGTTATACTATTTTTAGAAAATTTCTACTTAACTTTTCACATATTTTCAACTGTCCCAAGGTGCCTCAATAGGAGGTACACCTTGGGACAAATAACAAGGTAACTAAAAAATTTTTTTAATTTTTTTATGACAGGTAGAAAATCAAAACCTAGCTAAAAATGTTTTCAAATGTTACAAGAATACCAGGTAAAATTTTGACAATGATTGATCAAAATAAAAAAAATTAAGAAAAATGAAAATAAAAAATTGTCCCAAGGTGAGTCATTCTCCCCCACCATCAAATTAATCCTGAGTTCATTAGAAACCCAAATATCGAGCTGGCTTACATCCGACTCTTGAACTTTTTTTTACTGACCTTCGATCTCTCGTGTCATATAAAGTAGGGTTTGCCTGTATCAGTGTGTTTATTTTGTCATCATCACTCTAAGTAGGCCTTCCTGAGAAGCACCTTTCAAATCAAACACCAACATGAAATTTCTTGAACTAGTTACTGCACTGACATTTTCGTAACTTAACGTCACCATAAACTTTAAGCAATTTTCCCTCCGTCTTTTCTAGAATGTTAAATTGACTTTTTAATAAATTTTAAACCTCTGCACATTTAATTAATTTTACTTCAATATCTAACCTGAATTATTATTCAACAATTTACACTTTATTTTCTACCCTTCATTTGTATTTAAACTTGAAATTTTGTTTTGTTTACATAAGGAAAATGTTATGTTTTGTAATGAAACTTTACTGTTAATCATTTCTTTTCCATCTCTTTTTTTCTTCAAAACCACTTTCCATGCTGTTTTCTTTCTCACTTCATCTCTATTCATCTTCTTAACTAATTTTTTGATAATAATTAATTTTTAATTATCAGCTAATGCTTTGTTTTTCAAAATAAATTTTGATCTTTTTTTTAAAAATTATTTCAATTTTTTTTAAACACAAATTGACGTGAAATGTCATCAGAACAATCAAATTTTTTAATCAAAAGGATAACTGAATTAAATTTTACAACTATTAAATCGGTCTTTCATTATAAATAGGTTCAGGTTATGACAACCAGACATAGATAAAATGAAAAAATTTCTGAAAACACAAAGTCTCAATTAAAAAACTTCCTACGAGCAATTTATTGGCATTTGTAACTAGTTTCAAACTCACAGTCACTTCCTAATAAACAAAATTTGTTTGAAAATCACTTTAAAAAAATGCTTCAATTTAAATATATATATATATATATATATATTCCCAATAATACA